CAATAGCAGAGGAACCAGACATTTTTTGTTAATAAAAGTTAGGCCAGATCGTCTTCTTTTGGTCCAAAGAATATCGCAGTACCCTTTTGATCATGAACTTACGGGACACCCTGTATAAAAGCGCTTGTTGAGCCACTAAAAAATCAATTTTTTTGCTTTATTATTGCAGAAAATTTCACTCTATTCACTGTTTTTGCTGATTTTTGACGAACTTCTTCACCTTAATGAAATGTGTTTTTTTTCTACCAACTTTTGAGTAAAAGCCAGTGAAAGTTAGCATTAACCGGCAACCCCAGCTTCCCTGCAGAAGACCAGATAAGTTGTAACGAAACCATCGCTCCTCAATTATCATAACTTGATTTGGTCTACAGCTCAATGCGTTCGCTGCGCGCGCAAAACTGGCCTACATTGTCTGACGTCATCAGTTGTGTAGATTTCAGTACTGAGGCCTTGTTCTGATGACGTTGAGCCGTTCTTTTCCTCATAACGTAATTATTCACGGCTTTTGACTGTTATTCTCTCAAACTAAGCCCCCTTCGGGTCTAATGATTACTATCCGATTCACATGACTTCTTTATCGAATTGTTCCGATGATAAGATAATAATGCGTAGACTAAATCACTTGTTTAGTGAGTAGCTGCGAACGGGGTTATCAGGAAATTAATTAATTGGGGAATTCGATAATTTCGGATGTTTTCGATGCATGTTTTTATGGGCTGCGCCCCTGAAACAAAGCTCCATTTCGATTCGGTTTAGACACACGTCAATTATCAGGAATGTTATTTCGGTGCGTCGAAATCGATGCCAATTAATTGACGAATAAATTATAGAACATTTACAGTGAAATACTTAGCGCTGGTCATAGCAATAAATAGTTACTCGAAAATTAATGGTTCGAAACTTTCAATATTTCCCAGTTAATACACTTTAATATCGGCTAAAATTAACCTCGGTCGTCAGCTGATTCGAGCTGACCGGTGCTAGATCACACTTAGGTGATTCTTCCCGTCGAGCTAAAAATATCGCTACCAATAGGCATAGTTTGGCAACCGCTTTCATCTGACCTCTCCGCGTTATTTGCCAGGCTCTCCTTTATTTTCTCGTCAATATTTACTCAAAAATCATTCATAATCCCGCGTGATGGCGACCCGAAATCTGTTTGATCACATTTTATCAATTTAATATTTATTTCACTATGTACCAGTGAAATTTTACGATCGCTTCCATCTCAGAAAACTGTCTTGAAATTGCAAACTTGCTAGTTCCAATGGTACCTAATTCATAGCGGTTTTGCTTCCATCCCTTTAGAGGTTAGGGCATTTCGAACCAAACGGTTTCGACCTTGAGCCGACGATACTTTCCTTATTAAACACCCACTATATGCATATTGAGCATTTTGTACAATCCAGCTTGTCGACAGATGAACTGCAAGTTCCAATCACGAATGAGTTTGCATCGGTTCCATAAAGATGGACAGAGACAGTTTTAGCAGTTTCGTCCTCTCCTATCAGAGGCTCAAACTGAAGCTTGAGGACTTTTTGACTTTACTGTCACCGGTATCAAATGTCTTTTGAGGTTAGTTTTTGAAGTTTTCCTGCGACTTGTCAGTGTATTTTCAACTGTTTCCGAGATCTGGCTTGTTTTGGCTTCGATTCCTTTAGAGGTTAGAAGTCACTGGTGCACGACAAATGGCAAACGACAGCTGCTGAGACGTTCTATCGACACAATCCTATCGATTATTCAGGTAGATGCAACCGTTTCCCCGATATTGATTAAAATAGACCAAAATTGGGCAAATTGCAGGTTAGAATTTTTCAGAGAAAAAAGATTCCACTTTCCACCTACTTTGGCTTTTTTCAGGTTAGAATTTAGCGTTCAAAATTCTCTTCCTGTGACTGATCAGGTGTTTCCAACTATTGCTGAGATTTGGGGTTTCAAACGGGAGGATCTTCAGGGGGCAGAGCCATGCTTGGCATATGTCCAAATAAAGCTTCTAATTTTAGGATAAATTTGGCCAGCTTGTTAACAAAACAGCCCACCATAGAATTTTGCAAGCCGGTCATTGGTCTTCAATCTGCAGCCTATCAATAGCCCATAAAGCAGTCAAAGCTGAGTGAATTCCCCGATAAAACCCATCACGAGCACCAGGCTGAAGTGGCCCATGTGCAAGTGGCGGCCCCAAAATAGATTTTCGCAATCTCCGCTCAAAATAGCCCGATTTTGATCCAAACATCGAGCAAATTTTTCAAAAAGCTCAAACACTTACCAGTTACATAATGGAGCAGTAGCGCGCATATCGGGTAGATGGCGGGACTGTAGACGATATCCGGACATGCGTAGCCCAGTACGCTGATAACGCGATCGGCGCACGCGCGCCCCGATCTTGTCAAATGGTAGGCGTGGCAACGGGATGGTTCGACAAAAGGCGGCAACCCGACGGGTCGCTCGGGCAGTTCCGCCGATCCAAACACCTGAACCACCATGTCCCAGTAGAATCCATCGCCCGACACTCCGCCAGCCTTGCCATGTTGCTTGCACAACAAAGGCCATAATTCTCTGAAACATAACCTCCAATCAGCAATTCATTATACTCCTGCGCGGTGCCGACCACTAACTTTCTGATCGGATGATTGGCAGGCCACGCGTTCGCCCTTAACAGTTGCTTCACCTCCTGGACCTTGCCGGATTGCAAGAGGGCGCGCACGTCGGCCAACATGCGCAATGGGCGTGCCGTCGGGCTGGGCGGAAC